AATTGTACATGTAACCTGCAAACAAACATGAAACACTCCATTGGACTCTCCATCAAGCACTAATGACACTCTTGATCCTCTCAATCTCCTCATCCCCTTCCCTAATAGCTTCTTCCACGCGACGCCGAAATGCGGGATCCTGCTCGCTCTCCAGCGCCACATTATCGCTGAGGATAATGTCCAAGGTTGAGTTGGCGTGTTTGAGAAAAGACCTTGCTGCCGCATTGGTGCACTCTTGGACGCCGTCAGCGAGTCCGCGGAAGTCTTTTCTGAAGCTCGCCATCAGGTTCTCAAATAGCTCTTCATCAGCAAGTTTGGTGTTGATGATGAATTTCCTCCGGGCATCACTTCCTCGGCCTGGTATATTTGTTAGTTGATCCAGGAGCCAAGATGCGTGGACCAAACGCCTATTATCGTTCTAGTCAGGAGGCCACTCCGACTCACCATGTTCTCGGTTGCAGTCCTGATATGCTGGTTTCATTGCTTGCCCGATCAATGACGTCTGGAGCCCCGACATGGCATCCGTACGTAATTTCCTGATAGATCATGTAAATTCTCTGGTTTGAATACCGAGGTATGGGCAGAACTCACTTCAGACTAGCCTTGAACTCTTCATGAGCCTGCTCCATGTTGCTCCACATGACTTCCTTTTGGGATGTAAGTGCATTGATCAACGGGCCTGTGATATCTGGCATTTCACTCAAGCCATCCTCTGAGACGTCAGTTAGCAACAGTGTGGTGGTGGAGCATAGATATAAAGGATCAAGAAAGCACAATGATTCTGGGGTTCGCAATACCTAGGTGTTCAATCGACCATTCCAATAAATCATCGAGGAGCGTCTCAACACTACCGTGCCGCGTATCGATGAGGCGCCGTAGATCTTTCCATGGTTGATTCAGGTCTTTAGTCATTTCCTCAATTGCCTCTTCGTTCCAGTTCCGACAACCGACAGCGGGTGTCGAGTAGTCGCCGTAATTGCGACAAAATGCGGCGTAAGATGCTACGGTCGACGTATTAGACAATGCCGACTCCATTTATTCTCCAGTGGGTAAGATTAAGAATGCGATACTCACCATGATGGAACTAACAATCACCGGATGGTCAGTTGTAGTTTGAACGTCGATCTTGAGGGTCACTTACCCCGGCCCAGCCATATCCCGCATTTACGGCTGCTTCACCCCAGTCCCCAAGATACGAGTCTAATAGATCCATGAGCTCCATGTTTAAAAGTTGGGTACAAAAAAGTTGAAAGAAAAGATCAAGTCAAGGAAAGAATGAGCCTACTCTCGTCTATTTGCTCCTTGAAGTCCTTCTTGAGCCCTCTAGAGATTTGATTGAGTTTCGATTTGGGATGGCTAAGGTCCTACCATCTCTCGTCAGCTTAGACCTTGACTAACGCTCAAAGATTTCCGTTGTTTCAAAAGTTGCCTACTTTTTCCAAGCGACTCTTGAGGGCCTTCAGATTCTTGCGGATTGCCTCCTTTCGCTCTACCGTAGCGCTCCCCGCACCAGAGCGAACCCAGAGTTGAATCTGAGCCAGAAGAGCAGGGATCTCGTCCTTCATGTACCGAGTGGCGATCCTCCGCTGACTGTTGGCGACGATGGAGATGCAGTGCTTTCTCACTTCGAGAATCCCACTCAGCTGAAGAATTTGCCTTGCGGCGTCTCTGTCCTCATCCCGAAAGTCCCAATAACTCTTATTGCTCACGCAAAAGACATTAACACTCTCGTCCGATTGGGGAAGGGTGTATTGGGCTTGGAGGTCTCTTGTCACGACCGAGTTACGCGTTGTGACAAGGTAGGAATGCAATCTAAAGAATTAAAGAGTAACAATGAGTGACTTGGTTCTGACATTTCAACAGATGAAAAAGGCTTTGACTTACTGAAATTCCCGGTCCCTTATTCGCCGCCTGGAGATGTAGACGTTAACTCGCATTCAATCACAAACAGGCTCTTGGTGAGGGTGATAATAAAAGACTCCAATACTTACTTGAGAGTAGACTGACTTCTGTACAGAGCGAACATACTGTCTCGCTCATCATCTGAATATTCGTCATCCGATGCATATTCAGCGATCTGAGCTGCAATTTCGCTCCGTTCTCGTCTATCGGCTGCAATCAGGTCTTGAAGGCCTTGGATGTGCTTCGCTCTGAGCCCCTTCCAGTCTCGCTTTGCCTCATCGGCTTGTATGTCCTACAATAAGGCGTCAGTCTTAGAACCCAGCGTGAAGCGGCAGCTGAAAGAATACACACGTCAGATCTTGTGCAGACAATTCCGACATTGGACAACTGGGCTCCTTCGGCAAGCCGGAACACGCACTGGACCCCTTCATCGGTCACTGCGCGGCCGATGTTGCAGATGACAAATATCTCGTCACATTCTAAGAGAAATCGCTCGGTGATGCTTCTTCTAGCCGAGTTCAAGTCACGAAGACCTGGTAGATCAACGAGAACAAGTCCCTTGCTCAAAATGTGTGCGTTGAGGCACACCCTAATCATTAGTCAGACAACAATTCAATTACCAGGCATGTATTGCCACTCACCTGACTTTTCTTATGAAGGGCCATTTTGCAGGCGAATTCTTTAGCCTAGGCTCAGACGAGAGCTCCATCAAGCGAGCAGAGCAGCTCTCTAGCGTGTCGTATGACTGGCGAGAGCTGATTTCCGATGGTCTAGCATCCGCAGCCCATGACTCCAATCTCGTGAGAACCTCGGTTGGCGAGGCTTCCAAAAGAAAGTCGTCATCATCCAACCGGCCGCGGAACATGGAAAAGAATGTATCTCGCGCCTGATTGGCACTCTCCTCCCATTCGTCCTCACCATGCAAATGGAACTGGCGATAAGATACAAGCATCGTCGAAAGTTGCTCACTAATATCCTCCATAGAGAAGAGCTCAACTTCTATTTCAAAAGTATTGAGCTCATGGTGATGATATTCTGTGACAACACATGTGCATGCTTCACCACTGTTACTCTGCATTGAAGTTAACTCGGCAAGTCGACCCAGGAAAGCAACCTATACGCAAAACTCACAGTCCTTGCAAGCCCCCTGAAGTCGAGGAGAGAGTTCAGAAGACTACTTTTACCTGCGCCGTATAAGTTTAGCCACTGTCATCTTAAATTGAGAGCTGTACAAGGGAGAACTCACCAACACCAGAATCACCGACAAAGCCGACAGTGCGAGTGGAAGGGTATGTGAAAGCAGCCAACTCTCCGGCCTCCTTGTGCAGTCGCTGCATTGTAGAGTCGGGGTCGTGGTGTAAGGATGCGCTTCCCAAGACCTCATGTGTGGTCGACATGAGCGCTTTCGCGTCTCTCAATGCCCTTTGAAACGACGGGTCGTGGAAAGCATCCCGGGGAAGCTCTTCGTCCCGGACATCGTGCCGCGTAAAAGAAGTTCGAGAGCCTGATCGACGGGATCTAGCATTGCGCCGAGGAGTGCCTTGTCTGCTGCCAGCTGCATCGTCCGGAGCGAGCGATACGCTGCGACTGTCGGATCCTCTAGCTACTCCCTCAACAGCGTCAGCGATATCGGACAAGTTCTCAATTCCGCCTCTGGGTGAAAGTTGCATGCGCTGCATGTTCCGCTCCATGCTTCGAGTTACCGAACCATCCGAAGCAATGGCTTGTCGGCGGGCTTGGTCGACTGGGGAGTTTGATGCATTGGGTGAAGGGGACTGAGGAGAAGCAGATGTTGATGGCGTTCGAATAGCTGGAATATTTCTGGAGCTTGTCGAAGTTTCGGAAGAGCCGGTGGGAGAAGAGACATCTTGTTCAATAGAGGGGATAGGGAGGTCTGCATTGGCCGCAGAAGTTGTCGAATCGGTCGCAGAGCCAGCCCTGCCACCTCGACGCTTCACCTGGTTAGCTCATGGTCAAGCAAACATACTAATGTAGCAAATCTGATGATTTGATAATACCTCTTTGACCATGGCGAAATAAACGAATGTTTTGTCTTGGATGTGATGTGAGGTAGATAGGCAGTCTGACGGACAAAGTGCGAGATGATTAGATGCGTCAATTTAGAACACGAAAGCAAGAGCACGAAATGACAAGAGACGGCAAAAAGGAAATTCTACGCTTTATGAGCACTCCGCTTCTCCCCCTCCCGCACAGTGACCTGGCCGTGTCGCCCAGGCAGAGTTATGCTGTTGGTTTGCTGCGGGGCGTATGTTGGGCGGCTACGTTTTCAATGGCCAATACCAGGCAATTATCCGAGCTGACGACCCTTTATTGCGACCAAAGGTGTGCAACTTTGTACACTTTTGTTCAGCTGCCGATTGCAATCGTTGCTAACTATGGAATGGTGCGTCTCAGAGAATGCAGGACTGCGGCGCTTGATCAAGAACGAACAGCTTCTGCAACCCCGGAGATCAGCACACGAAACTTGAGCAGGTCTTTGAAACGGTTCGCTGCGACTTTCACTAATCAGACTTTCTAAATAGATCCTTCAGCCACAGCCGCCCGCAAACGATGCCAGGTCGCGGCCATCAACAGGACAAGCCACTCCTTTGTGTTTCAGGACAGACGCCCAGTGAAGAGGCCCATCATGTTTCAAGAAGCCTATTGAAGCCTAGTATTGGTGTATGAGAGTCCTTCGTGATTCATGGCAAGTGTGACTTGGCCACATGTTGCAAAGACAATCACAGCTTAGGTAGGATCGAGCTGTGACCATCTCGACCCAATTGATTGCCTAGACACCCAGAGCCAAAGCGGTGAGAATAACCCTCATTCAAGGGGCGCAGACTTGGAGAGCTGAATAATTAGTATAATACTAAGATAGAGCGAGATGAGTAATTTGAGGCTTGCAGGGAGAATCATAAATATTCACCTCGTGCTATGAGTGCATGGCCCAGCTTCACGTCTCATGAATATGATAGCTATCATGACCATGGTGTTTCTTTCTGGAACCTCCCTTGTCGCCCTTATCGATGCCTTCACGAGAAGACGACTGCGTCAGCGCGAACAACTTCAAACGTAGTCGTCTTCGTCGAACATCATCCGGTGTAGTGTAACGGTTAACATACCGCGTTTTCAACTTGCTCCAAGTTGGAGCGAGGACATCCGCGGCGCTCGGGGTTCGATTCCCCGCACCGGAGTATGACAGATCTATAGGTCTGAATCTTTTGACTGCACTCTTTTTGCCCTTGTGCTAGAAAACCGTCCTTGATGGAGCGGGACAGCTTAGATAATAGATAATAATTGATTCACATCAGCTCCCACTTCTAGAAGCTTCTCAACAACCTCGAGATGGCCTCCATTAGCTGCTTCCCAGAGCTCACTTTTCATAAACTTGTGACCATGACTAGTATGAGCATAAGCTCCTGCTGCCCGAAGTTTCTCAGCAACCTCAACATGGCCCCCTTCAGCTGCTGCTTGGAGTGCACTCCGACTTGCCCCAGCAGCAGTATAACTATTCGCACGTGCTCCTGCAGCCAAAAGCTTCTCAACAACCTCATGATCACCTCTTTTAGCTGCAATTCGGAGTGGAGTCATACTAGTTTGCCCATGAACAGCATCGATGGTGGCATTTGCAGTTAGAAGCCTCTCAACAACCTCAAGATGACCTCCTGCAGCTGCTATCTGTAGTGGACTCGGCAATAACCCACGAGTTTCGCCGTCCACATAGGCTCCTGCGGGTAGAAGCTGCTCAACAACCTCGAAATGGCCTCCTTCAGCTGCTGCCTGAAGTGGACTGCATCCACTTATGTCAACAGCGTTGGCATCGGCTTCTGCCGCGAGGAGTGTTTGAAGGACAACTTTGTGTCCATATTTGGCAGCGAACCACAAAGGTGTATGCTTCCAGCTATCTTTCGGATCTGGACTATACCCAAGCCTGAGGAGTGTATCCGTGGCCTTGATCAGTCCAAAATATCCTGCCAAATGCAGTCCCGTCATACTCTTTGAAGGTCGAAGGAACAAGCCACCCCACAGGGCCATTTGGACCACTTGATACGATGCCTCGACCTGAGCTTACTCTCGAGGAAGCTGATGACCAGTTTATTTGATGTTGGGTCGCTGACAGCGTGACGTCCCCAGTTACATGCGGCATAGTCGTAGAACGGATTTAACCGCAATCGCTCGGTGAACTTCGCTTTAGTTTTGCATAACCCGGCCTCGAAAACAGTGAATGAGAGGTAAGTTACGCATAGTGTCGTGATTTCCGTTTCTGGGTCCTTGAACCATGGCTGACGTGCCCGGCTCAGGTATACTTGTGTCGTGAAGTGAACCAGTCGGATGATTCCACTTTCTTCGTCAACCGTTACTAGCCCGACGCACCCCGAGATCATGGCTCCCAGATCTGGTAAATCTCCAGGATCAAGCTCAGACTTCATAGTCTTGACTGCGAGTGCATGCCGAAGTTCCAATGTAGTGAGCGGCCGTTTCGCAAATGTGATCCACATTAGAACGTTCATGGCAAGTGTCTTTCTTCCTGGCCGTTGTCCGTCGATTCTCTCCATTGCTTAATCATATGCACGATCTAGGACTTGACCCTTCTGCTCGTCGCTTAATCCTTGGCTTTGATATTGGAAAGTCTCTACTGTACTTCGGATATCATTTGGTGTCACCTTGTCGGCAAGTAAATCAAGATACAGTTGTGCTAAGAGGAACCTATAGATTGTCAGGATCCATGCCACTCCTTTTTTTTTTTACATGAGGACTTACATCCCATCGACGGCATCCAAGATACCCGTCGTAATCTCTTCTCGCAGCTGCTTGTCCGGCTGGACGAAGGATGGCAGCTGTCCTATATGACCTTGGAGGTATCTTTCCACATCGTCGCGGTGTGCATGAATCTCCATCGATAAGCTTGCTTTAAAGAGTTTACAAATCTCTGGGATAGGCCTCGATGTCACAAGATGTTTATCACGTGCTTTATCTGAAGGTCGAAAAGCTCTAAGAGAAACTTGGTCCTGCATTCGTCGGTTGTTTGGCATTCGTCAAGTGCGTCAACGATGATGAAGACTCTTGAATACAGCGATGCTGCAGACTGAAGGATTTCTGAGATCTCGTGGGGAGAAGGCCGCGTTCGTTTGGACTTGTGTTGGTTATATAGCTTCTTGATACCATCTGGCAAGGGAGAGCAGCATTGAGCGAGCTGCTTCAGGACACTTGCTAGCAGGTTGCCAATCTTTTGGTCGTGTTGCCGCCGGAAATTAAAGTAGATGTATGCGATACCGACTTTCGAGTCATTGCCAAACCTCGAATTTAGTGAATCAATCAAGATTGACGTTAAGATCGTCTTCCCAGCTCCAGGTTTGCCTGGACAGAACAGCGTCTGCTTGCCCCCACCTAGCCAGTTCAAGAACCTTTCCGACTCGAGGAACCAATTCCCAGTTGCCGGTTGCCGTCTGCTCAGGTAGTCGCTTTGCTGGGGACCGTAGTCGATAGGTGTCAGCCTGTCAAGAATCTCGACATCTTCCATGCTGTCTAACTTTGCTCGAGTATGTGCGGTATTTTGACAGACTACATCTCGTATTAGAGCTCATTGCTAGCTTTACCTCGTTGGAAACGGCTAACCTTCGTGGAGGACGTCTCTCACTGGGCGCACTCCATCGACGTCTCCTAGCTGGACATATTGCAGAAGTTCCTTCGCAAACGCCGCAGATATTGCGGCAGAATATTCCTGCCAGTCTTTGTTCTTTTGTTCGTCGCCATAGTCGCAAATTCCCCGGATGACGATACATGGGAAGCTATTCATCAGTCCTGCCGCCTCCATTTCAACGCACAACACATTGCCGCCAAAAAGGCGATTGAGATTGTCACGAAAGCTGGCGTCCTTTACCACTTGATTGCCCGACGCGATGAGCCCGAAGTGCGGCCTCGTGTCTCTCGGCTTCCTCTGGCCTGCCTCAACTGTGGTGGTGCTACCTGGTTGCCCAATCTCAGAACCCATGGGATCAACCGAGCCGCGACCGCGTAGGAATTCGAAAAGAGTAAGGAGCATACCCAACAGCATCGACCATATAACTTCCCAGGTGCCCCGGGTATGACAAGAAGGATCTGGCGTGAACAGAGGATCTCTAAGGGCCTCAGTCCAGGTGTACCTCTCCTTCAGCCTCGGCCACTTTTGCTCCAGTTCGTCCAGATACTCCGGTATCTTGGACCCGTTCAACTCGTTCTCCGTCTTCAGTGCCGTCAACGCTGTGCGAAGCAAGGTAGGCGGAGGAGCTAAGGCCCCCGTCCATTTGAAGTTGCCGCCTCGTTCCGCCTTGCCAAAGTCCCATTGAACTACTCCGGGATACTGGTCCGCGGGTGTACTGACGACGACATCGCCAAGTCGCACCTTGGGTGGGATGCCTCCGCCAATACCAACCATCAGACCAAACTTGATGAGGGGAAAAGTGGAAATCATCCAAGTGGCGATAGTCGCCGCTGAATTGGTGCCGGTCTCTCCTTCGGGCAAGCAGGCTATGACAATATTGTGCTTGCCAATAGACCCTAGTGTGTACGCGTTGGGATCATTCGGTGGCTTCAGGAGATTGGCGTGTCGAGGGTCGAGCATGGCCGTCGCGGCGGTTTGCTCTTCGGACAACGCGCAGACCCATCCCACGGTGTAGCTATCATGATTTCTGGCCTCACTCGTTGTTTGAGCAGCCATTTTGAGGTCGGACCTGTCTGCTGCGGGTTGTGCGCCCCGAGGGATCACACAACATCAAAGGTCCTAGGGAAAGTGACGTTACGGAGGATTTACGTAGCTTCAAGACGTGGGAAGGATGTGTGACTACTATGTATTTATCTGAGGGGCCCGACAAAGGCTAATTAATGTAGCTGACTCCTCTCGGGGTGAGACAGGCCGGAAGTAGCTAGTTACAGTGGCTTACCGAGACTCGTCGAGAACATGGTGCTTTGAACTGCAAATTGACACTAACTGTAGAGGGATAGAACAAGGGACCTGTGGTTAGTGAAGTGCCAAATCCTTTCTGGCAAGATGACAAATTAAGGTAGATAAGTAGGTAAAGTGGCCTGCAAATATAACAGTAACTAACCAGGACAAGTAACCAGAAGGGAACAATACTGCTGCTTCTCATTACCTGGATGCGCCTGAACAAAGGCCAACCACTTCACCTTGGCGTGTATTGATTAACCGAAGTCATGTGATATCACTACGATTCCATTCTCTGTACATGAATGAATAGATTCACGACTTAATAATAGCTCCAGATTCTTTGACCTGTCAGGCGTGCTAGGCCACCAATCCGTCACTTGCACGGAATATCTGCCAGCACCATTTCCAGCTCGCTATTTTTGCCTTCCGAGCCTGCAGCCATTTATACATGATAGCACCATTCAGGGCCAGAATGCAACCAGTGCTATTTTAAGAAAGGCCAGGTCGTCCAGCCCTTGACTATGGTATTGGTGGTGGACTGGTGGTGGCTGAGCCTAGTCTTGCACTCCACCGTGCCGACAGCCGTCGTACATCGTAACAAAGGAGCAGACTCTGGGAACTCCTTCATCAGCCCGTGATTTGGCTTGGGGTATCACTGACAATGAAAACCTCTAATTTTGCACTGGTATGGTCTGTATTCCGTCGACTGACACATTGGACTCGAAACCACTGGGGGCGGGCAATTATCTTCGAGCTGGGAGGGACAAGTGTAGAGGGCGTCTTTGTGATGGACACGCTGAAGTCAGGTCCTGTCCAATTCAATGCCTATTCACGCACACAGACGACTCAGATCTGAGACCGCCACAATGGATGCAAAAATATCCATGCCGGTCGGCGATAACCCGATTCAAACGAGACACTGTCCACGAGACCAAACCCCTCTCAACCCTCCGCACAATCACGGTGTCTGTGGTTTTCACGAGAGTAATTAATTTCTGTGCCAACCTAAACACCACAAAGTGGCAGAAACTACTGGTTCAGGTCGAACCAGCAACATTGGTTGCACCCTTAGTGCGACCCCTAGCCTTCAGCTCTAGGCTTCAGCCCCAACCAGCTGGATCTCTAAACAGGCATCATTGATCTCAGCAGCGGAGCAGTATTGTTTAATAAACTTGCGTGTTTCCACTGCCAAGAAGTAAACAACTCTCAATTATCCTTCATCTTTCTTATACCTCCCCCCTCAAACAAGCCTCCTTAGGTATTATCCAA